TATGCAAACAGTTAACTAGGCCATATGAATTTCTTTGCTGGTTTCCACAAATGACACTGCAGGGATCCAGCTCTTTTCAGCTGATTACATTAATTTACAATTCAAGCTGTAATATTCTATATAATACAAAAAATTCAACAAAGCAAGGTTGGGCAAGATTAAGTACGATGTGATGGAAATTTCCATCTAGTCATGAGAGTTTGATTTTTCCCTGCCTTTCTGTTTTTCTCTTGAGAGTTTTTMCACATGGATTCCAAAGGTTTCCCATCTTTTTCTCTGAACAACAGGATTGCCTCAACTGTTTTTCGTCTTTCAGGAAAATTCTCCAACTGCACCTCTTTCCTATTAGTTAATCATTGAACTGCTTTTGTCACAAAGACAAAAGTGTTGCATGCCTGAATGCACAAAAGTGTGGAGTTCTGATGTACTTCTGATGTTCACACATGATGACTGTTCATGAAGAAGAGCATATATGCCATGATMATTAGTGCATTTCATCATGAAACCTCACCAGCTCTTCTTTGATTGAACCTCAGAAGGTTCTTTTGAGTCCAAGCTTTTTGTCTCTTTGCTGAAAATATAAAATGTGAATAATGACATAATTAATAATGGAATTACAGCTCTTATTGGTATTAACCAACTAAGTAGTTCTATATTTAAATTATGTTTGTTATTATCAATATTATCTATATAAATTATGTGTGTTATTATCAATTGCTTTATGACAACATTACAAGTACTTCAGTAGTACAGTTCTGAACCGGGTGTTAAGGAGAACTTTATGTTCATGAAAATAACAGCTATTTATGAACAAAAATAGTAGAACCTTATTTTTACAGTTGAAATACACTGAAATTGCTTATTTTAATTGAACTAGTATTCTGTCTTCAGTATTTCCTACAGATAAGTCATTTCCGAAAATAATACCATTAACAAGCTTTGACTCAGGCTTGCTTTCCTAAGCAGGCTAATAGGTAAGTTTGYAAATTCCTTTTTAAAAACACAGCTGTCTTAAATTAATATTTCAGAGATGCCAGAATAGCTTTTTGAACTTGATGCCCGAGCTAACCTTAGTCCAACAGTAACATTAATGATAGACAGTTTTTCAATGTCTTTCATTAATCAATATTAATGTAAAAAACTCCTGGACYTCTAAATCTCTCAAACGACAGAGACCAGTTTGTAAGTCTTACAGGGAAAAAGGTGGTATAGAGCTAGGGAAATATTCTGTCACAGCTAARTATTTTTAGAGGGCAGCTATAGGAACCCACTGAGAGCTCTTTCATGGGCAGCTCATATGTATTACTACAGGCATGCCTTACATGCAACACATAAAGTGCTTGAACACATGAGAAGTCTCATGAGGTCAAAAATCTGCAGTGTTACTAATTATTCACAAGTTTGATCTATCATTTAAAATCTATGAAAAATCAATTGGCAGCTAATTAGCTTTCAGTATCTGGTTTAAATCAGCAAAAAGGCAGGAATGAATTGGATTTAAATAGATCCCAGTAAAATAGATGATGACAATTAGAAGATACTTCTAAATAGTAAACTATCATGATAGAGCTTGATGCTGTGAATTATGGCCAAATCTACCTGTAAGGAATGTGCTGATTGTRTTAGCCCGTGAATAGGAACACCAAGACATTCCACTTCCAATTAAGCAGTTTATTTGTAGTAGTTGTTTTACTGTGGTACTGTGACCTGATACAAATAGGACCTGTTTTCATTGCCCATTTGAAGGATGTAAGAAACTCTTCTCTTTTTTTTTTTTTAGTTCTGAAATTCAACTGTCATTTTATCTGTTCTGTAGGTTGCCAGTGCTTCTTACTCTTAGTCACTGTGTGCTGCTTCCTTCTAAAATAATATAGAGATAACATTTACCAAAGGCACGTGCATTCTGTAGGTTTCTTGCTTCTCCAGCTAACTTGTGTCCATCCAAGTGTCTGTGTCACCACTTCCTTCTTGGTGCCTGTTTGGTATACTCCTACAGTTTCATGGTTATTCCATTTACAAATCACATTTTTCATCATAATAAATATCTGTTTTCCTTCTTCTGAGAGTCTATCTTGAATCTTGGCAGATTTGACAAGATAGCTATGAGGTCTGTCTAGCTGAGGCTTGCCTTTCAGCCCAGATTTGTAAAACTTCCCAGACTAATAAACAGATTTCTCTCTGGCCTCTYTAGACAGGTTTGAGGGTATTTTCCTGTGTGATTTCAGCTTCTGAACATGTAAGTCAGTAATATGGAAGGTCAATTCTTCCAAGATTAACAGTCTGACAGTGTCAGTTCTGAAAGGATTTCCATTGTAATTGCTTGGTACTARGACTCTAATTCTCTTAAAAATCAGGAAAGATTATATTAGGGAGAAAAACTTAATCCTTCTCAAGGCATTCAGTTGTCTAGGCCAGCATTGCCCATTTATTGTGACCAAAGCAATTTTTGGCAGAATTAATAATGCTCAGGAACAACAGAACTGTTTTCTGTCAGGAAAAAAAAAAATCCTGCCGGGAACAATGCTGTGCTGGGAGATGTCCCCTGTGGAATTTCTGAAGGGCAGAAAACAATCACAAAACTCATACGCWTTTTGCTGGAATGCCTAATGGATTTTGACCTCACCTCATTAAACAGCAGTACATAATGCATGATATATAAAACCCTCAACTCATAAAATAAACATTTTACAACAGGGTAAAAATGAAACAGAGGAGAAAAGGAATCCAAAAAGTCCTAGCTTTTTGTTAAATTTCATGCTTTGGAAAATCATTCTGGGTGGAAYGTCTAAAATATGTAGGTATACAATATGAGATGGTCATCCGAGGCTCTCTTTCTTTCTCTGATATAGAAAAGTTAAACACATCTAAGGTGCAGATCATTGGATGTCTAAAAGTCACATAAGTCAGATAAAGAATTCCCAGCAGGGAGACCTATCTCCATTAACCATAAAGAGAGTCCAGGTTGGCTGGCTCAGATATTCAGGCTAAATTGTTCGTATCTAATGTTGTGAGATGAATTCCAACCTCAGAGATCACTCTAATGAGGCTGCATAAGAACTGGAAGATGTGAGAATTAATTGTCTCTTTCGCAAATGGCCTTTCTACCATAAAATTTGAAGATGTGGGGAACAACACAAGGAACAGGCAAAGCCATCTGCCCTGTGAAGGGGACATGGAGTAGAGACCAAGGATTCACATGTGAGTGCACCACAGGGAAACCCAACACCCCGACCATGTCCTGGCCATGTCCCTCCTGGCTGCTGCAAATATTAACCCTGTACTGGCCAGAACCAGGACATAGTTGTACTACATATGGGAATGGTAACAAGATTTCAGATAAGGGAAAACTTCTGTGTGAGTAATATGGTTTATTATACAATAATTAAGTAGAAAACAGAAAGAAACTAGTATCAACTCATATATAAACAGTATTCTGTAATCAGTACTATGTGCTTGAGTAATATGCAGAATTGAAGTACACAATCTGATATTTTTAAACAAACGTGGTGACTGTTAAGTAACATCTTGTAAATCTACAATGTTTTGCATTAATATTAAGCCAAGTTATTTTGGAGTCTGTGATTCTTCAGTAATAAATCATGATACTATTTTCTGCAATTAAAACATTTATATGCACAGTCTATGAGCAACTGAGACTGATAGCAGAAAAACATTAATTCTAATATTGTATCATAGTATCTGTAGCAAAGTTATATTATGAACTGCCATTGATTTGGTCTAATTTTTTAATACAAATAAATAACTAATTCAATTTYTTTTTAGTGGAAGTGCAGAAATAAGATGACTACTGCATATATACAAAGAGCTAATGCATAGACTTCTGTTCAATTTTAAACTTACATGGCACTCTCTTGCTAGGAAGCTACAGGAACAAAAGATGACATCTTTCTTAAGATGAGGCTTAGAACTGAGAGCCACAAGCAAGTTACAGACACAGGATGGGTCTACAAGAAAGTTGAATAGAGGCAAGGATGTAATTTAATCATGTTGGAAACCTTTGTGAGCAGAGCATGGTGATTGTATTGATRGGAAGAAGTACAGAATTGTGAGGCGACCTTCTGTGAAACCTTTCTGAAGACAGTCTCTTTTGGGAGCATTATGTTGTAGAAAAGTTGACCTGGTTTTGAGTGTGAGGTGCCTGTGGACGTACTTGACCTGGGAAGGGCTTGAATTTACAATATGTGTTTTCTTTCTGACATCCATGATTGGGTTGGGTTTTTTGTTTTCTCTCGGTGCAAATGAGACAGATATTGCCCACTGTTGTTCTTGATAAGCAGCTTCAGCTTCAGATTTTTTATTCTTTTGGCTGAAATTGTAAGCTTTAATGAATGGTTTGGATTTTTGGTGATCTCTCTGCTGTAAGGGTGGAAGTTAGTGAATATTGTGACATTTTAAGGATGTGTAGCCTTGTTAGATTCCTTTAAATTCAAACAATGCTTCTTTAAGAACTACAGTATAATGTGATATTGTTTAAACCCAGTAGGCAATGTTTTTATTGCTGATATGTCTTTAAATATGAATATCTGATTAATTAAGAAATCATTACTCCCTGTACATCATAAAGAATCATTTCATTTCTTTACGTACATATTCTGAAGACTAGTATATATTGGCATTCCAACTGAAACACAGTTGTGAGCTGTAGATTATGATATGACCTCTTGCAATATTTTCTGATGGAAGAATTAGAATATTATGACAAATGGCAGGAAAGTGTTGCCATTCTTTATAGGATGAAACAATTCAAGCCTCCTGAAAACCATAGTTAGTGCAGTTCATGTATTAAAACACCATATTGTGTCTATCAAAAAATAAGATGTAAGTTGAATGAGGCATGATGAAAATGCTTTTTAGGTAAAACTTCATAAGAGTTTCTAGTAACTTGCTATTACAATTTTATCTTCCTGTTTTCCGTGGAGTTTTATAAATATTGTCACTTAAGCAGCTAAGAAGTTTCCTTTCTWTTTTCCTTTACATAGCAGATGGTACGTGAACAATATACTACAACAACACCAGGCACTTGCCTAGAGAGGCCGAAGAATGAATATATCTACAAAATTGGAATTTACGGCTGGAGAAAGCGTTGCCTCTACCTGTTTGTTCTCCACCTGCTTATCATCCTGGTTGTGAATTTTTCTTTGACTATTTGGATTCTCAAAGTGATGTGGTTTTCCCCAGTAAGTGCCCTCTTTAATTTTCCATTATTTTCTTCTCTTCCCTGCCGCACTACTTCACTTATTTTGTATTACACCAGCTTCTCTGTAGGTAATGGATGGTTCTTTTTTCTTTCTTTTCAACTCTGATTTGTACTTTGGTTGAAAATATGTTAGAAATATCTATCCTTGAACGTATTTCYTCATATGGAATTTCTGTACTGGTAATAATTTTTGAAATACTGAGGTTGTAGATGCTTTACATTGCAGAGAATTCAAACTATTCTAGGAGAATATATTTAACTGTTGTCTCATAGTCTCTGGCTGGTTGATACTTTATAAAAGCATTTGTTGTAATTKTATCTCATACAGAATTCCTTAGTTAAAATATTGCTCACTGTTGTTTTGGTTTTTTAGCTCCTTTTTACTTTTTAGCAGCATCTAAAATGTAACGATTTATTTGCCCAGTTAATTACAGCTCTGAGTTAATTATCACTACTTCATGCTTGAGGCTAAGCAGCTATATATGATGTAATAAATAATGTATGCATATAATGTAATATATAATGTAATAAATATATAAATGTAATAACTTTCCACTGTCATATATATTTTAATATTTATAATGTAATTTTGCATGTAGTAGATTAAAGGGTAAGTTTCAGTAGTCTGCAAGATATAACTTTAGTCAGAATGCGATAAAATGCATCAGTGAATATTGAAGCTAAGCTAATTCACTCCAAACATGCAGCTGTGATACACAGATGATTTGAATAGACTTGTTACAAGAAAAASAATAATAATAATAAATTTCTATAATAATAAATCTCTGTTACTGAAGAAAGTGTTGAAGTTACTATTATCTATTGTTATTGCACCTCTGTCACTAAATGAAGACCACTTTATCTTAATATAAATATTTTTAGATTCAGTAAAAAGAGTGCATGTTAATTTTAAGTCCTTCTTACTAATACAGTTTTAGTGCTTGAATTCCTGTGAAGGGTCCTCCCCCACATAAATTCTTCACAGCACTGTTACTGTGCTACAGATTACAGTGCAGAATATCTTACATCACATATAATTTTTTCTCTTATGCAGTTCATATTAAAGATATGCTTTTAGTGCCTGCTTKTTATAAATAACAGAGAACATGAACAACTTTTAATTTTCTGTGTGGCTCAGGGTTCTATTTTTAAGGAGTTTTAAAAATTATTGTAAGTTGGTTTGATTTCTGCATGTGAGCCTGAGTATTTCCTWCTCTGATACCAGCCAGGACTGAAAAAGGTAACATTAGGAAGTCTGCTTCTGGGAACACCTATCTCCTCATAGTTGCCTGTGTGGAAGGTACAATGCCTTGATCTGCTGAGGGACAGTTCCTTCTGCTTTTGCAACAAGAGCAGTGTAGTAACAGCTCTAGCAGTGCAGGCTCACATTATTTCACAGAATGGGCTATGAATCCCCTGCTCAAAAGGAGTTTCTTAGTTATTTGTTAAAGAATCTATATGCCTGATATGCCCAATTGGATAGTGACTTAACTGTGAATCCTTCATTAATTTGGGATAATTTTAGAGTAATGCTGAAATTCTGCTAARTATCAACTATAAATATATCTGTGAAAAGTGCACTTGTATGTCACAATCCTCAACAAAAGTGTATGTGACATCATTAAGAACGGAGAACTTTTTTTACTGGGTGTTGTTTAAATGGACTCCATCTCTCAAGGCAAGTAACTGAGGATACCAGAAATATCACCAAGAGAATCACAGAGAAGCACTGCTAGCACTGAGTCTTAAGAAAGATGTTTACTGCAAGTTCAAAGTCTGAAGGTATAATTGAAGCATCACAGTCCTTTGCTGTGTCTAAGGAGACACCAATTGTAAAGAATTAGTGTAACAGTCATAGAAATTACCAATACTATCATAAAACCCTTTTCCTGATGGAATTAAGCATTTATGCCTCCAAGTTTTTTGTTACTGTTTGAAAAGAGAGGTATCAATATTGTGTCAGAATTAGATTTTTAAGATTCATGATTTCCAAGCTTGACAAGTATTTCCTATCTAGAAAATGAGCTGATTCATGTGTATCACACATATCCAATTAAGCATTCCCATGATTGGGAAGAATTTAAAAGTAATTGTGAAATGTTATACTCTGAAATCATCAATTATTTAGCAAATATTAATCTGTCAACTGTGATAACACTTATTTATTAATTATGTGTTCTAGGTATATTGTGTAGAGATTATAGGACTTATTGTGTTTCATATTCATAACAGATATTGTATTTTTAGCTAATAATTTAAAAATATTTGGTCCTAGTTTTGAAAAATACGATAAAATGTTATCACTCTTAACAATATTGAAATATTGATAGATAATAAGATAKTAACAGCTTTTTTCCCAGTAGATTAATACAAGAAACAAGCTGTACTTTCACTAAGGTAGATAAAACACGTTTCAACTGGTTGAAAAAACATGACATTTTAAAATATATTTTTATCATAGAATCTTTATGCTCAAAGAAAACCTTAAGCATAGCATGACTGCAGTATGTAATTTTATTAGGAAAATGKTTTTTTGGTAATAGGGGTGTTGGGGCTTTAGTGATTGATGGACATCGTTCTATAGCACAGGCCTTTCGTAAGCCCACTCAAACMTAACAAACTTGCTATTTAGACATCAAAGTTTCTTTTTGTAGTATAAAAAGCGKTCTCTTTTTCTACAAAGCACCCCTGAATCTATTATTAAATAATAACTTGCAATGTAGAAAAATCACATACTATGTCTATTCAGAGATCCAGATTAAAATAATAATGAAATTATGAGCAGAGCTTCAACAAGCTCTGGCATTGAATTAATGTACACTTGTCCTGCCTTAACTCCATAAAACCAGACAATGTGATAAATACTAGCAAAGAAGTAAAGCTGATAAAGGAGAACATGAACCAGACATAGATATACTGCAAGATGAATCSATTTTGATCTCCTTGTAAGAGTTTGGATTGATGAAAGACAGAAACTTTTCTAAGCTCTAGTATTTGAGAGGCCTTTGGCATTAAATGTAGATGACAGAGTTGAACGGAATTTCATTGTTTCATTTCAATTTATTTTATAAAATGTAGACTAAAAGAGAATGACCGGAACAGAGAATATACTCCTTTTCTCATGCTGCCCCAATTAAAAAACATGTGAGCACTCCAAATTGTGCACATTAATTCAGAGGTATCAGCTATGTCTCATTCTTTTTTTTTTCCTTTTCTCTCTTGGAGTTCAGAGGGACATTCTCAAGATTTTTTGTGGAGGTGAGAAAAGAAACCTGTGAATTCGTTATATTCAGCTGCTTCAGAAAAGATGTTCAAATAATTTTGCCTTGAGATTGGTGAATAAGATGAAATAGAGTAATATAAAAACTAGCATTATTTTTGCACAAAATCAGTTTGAAAAGAGTTTGGGTTTTTTAGCCTAGACAACATATCACATTTTGCATGCAATGGAAATTCCAGAYTCTGTTTTTAATATAATGAGGCTTTCTGGGCACTAAAGGGGACTGCTARTTTTAAGAGTTTAGAAATAAGAGTCTTAAGGGGTTTAGGGCTTCAAGGATGTCAGAAATCCCGTGGACAATCTGAAATATCCAGTAGGTCTGAAAGAGGGGAACTTCAATGTCTTTGATATCTGCTGAAAGACCATAATGGCAGGATGGAAGCAGTGAAGATTTCTAGAGGGAGCCAGCAACAGTTTCTGGATAGGATAATTAAAGGTGGTGCACAGCTGGATGTGCTACTCACAGAACCCCATGGGAGCCAGATCTGAAGGATAAAGTTACCCAGAAAAGTGCMATCAAGTTTAAGGACAGTAGCAATTACCAGTCCTGATATTCAGGAAAGTAAATATCCTGGCTTAGCTAGGCAGGTTACTTGTGATGGATCTTCAATGCAAAAAGCAGTATGGAAGGGTTGGCAGCAAAGACAGGCTAGACAGAAGAAATTTGGAAACTTTGTCTGGGCCRTGAGAGGTGTCAGGCTTTCTGTGTCTGGAAAGCCAAAGCTCAGCTGCAGCTAAGAATTACAAAGGGCAAATAGCAACAAGATGGTCTGCATCCATTGGTGCAGAGAGAACTGATTTTCTCACAGAGTTACCCACTGCCATGTTTGGAAGGTTTTGGAGAGCGGGGAAATCCTCAATAGCTGAGGGAATGTAAGTGTTGTGTTTGTCCTTAAAAGGAGACCATGGGTTTACCAAGGGTGAATGATACCTRGCCAATCCAGTTGACATCTATGATAAAATGTCTGGAATTATGGATGGCGCGAGGACACAAAATGTCATTTACCTTGACTTTGGCAAGGCTTTTGACTGTCTCCCACAATATTCCTGTACCCTAATTAGGACATTACAGCCATGAGGAGGGGACAGAGAGATCAGTATAAGAAATGAACTGCCTGGATAGTCAGACTCAGAAGGTGGTTACTAATGTGTTGTGGTCTACATGGAGGGCGGTAATAAGCTTTGCAGTTGTCTTGTCCTGCRTCTTGTCCTCCTTTTCAGCAACTTGGAAGAGGTGACAGAATGCTTGCTCAGTAAATCAGAAGGTTGTACCAGTTTGGGGGTACCATTCAGTGCTTCCAAGGCTCAGGCTGGAGGTCAGGCTATTCCTAGTCCAGGATTGTCATGCTGGTGCTCTAAACCTCAGGTGTGAAAAATGCACCTGATCAGATGATTGCCATTCCTAATGCTCTGGAAAATCTTATTCAGAAACCCCTCATTAATTCAGTTATTTAATTATTTAAGTTCTGCTACATTATCATAACACCRTGAACAGTTGTGTGCCAAAAATTATTCCTAACTTTTTTTAGCCTCTGATGGAGAATGCCATGTTTTCCATGGATTTTAGTGGATACCCCAGCTATCATGGTCCAGCTATCATGGTCTCCTGGAATAAAAAAGGAAGTTGCACTGTATTTCATATTGATAAGGACAGATAGTAGTGCAACTACAGTGTTCACCAGGATAACCAGTTGCCTTTC